CAAAAGGACCTTAAGAGTCGAATCTAATGTGGCTACTGGTACGCTTGTGGGAAATCAGATGACACGTCTCGCTAAAACTACATTATGTACCCTCGACGAAACATTACGAACCCTCAAACATCCCATGTATTCCAATGTGTCAACAATTTTTTGACTTAATCAAAGTGGATCTTCGTGAGGAAAACAGTGAACACGCTACCAGTAAAACAGTTGAAACCACTGTGACTCTTCATTTCAAGCAATATGGCCACTATTGGAATCATGGTGACGTTACCCAGCAATGGTAGTAGTTTCAAATTTCCCAACAATAAAATGTACAGTTACACCATTCGTCTACGAATGGAAGAGGGATTGAGTAACACAAATCTACCCGACATGTACCTGGAAATGAGTATATTGAAAGACTTAAACATGTTTGAACTCAAAACTGTTAGAAATTATATTGGAAACAATGTGGAAGTTCCTAAAAACAGTACAGCCGTTTTGTGTCACTTGCGCGATCAAAGTGTTGAGAGGCGCGTTTCCTGGAATTAAAAATTTCATGTTACGTGTAAAGTATGACTATTTTCAACATTCAAATGTCATCATGGATGGAATAAGCTTTATGAAAGTGGTAATAAACAGGTACGAAGAACTTGTCATGCAACGAAGAATGAATTATGATGCAGGTCCAGGAAATAACACTAGATAAGAGAAAGTCAGAATGCGTTAACCACTAACAAGAAGACTAAAGGAACTTTTTACATCAAATGGGAAGGAGAAAAACCGGTCGAGGACAACACAAAAACTCTTCAAATTATGAGAAACCAGAACATCTTCACATGTTCATGAGTTGGAGTAAAGACTTGGCTTTAAACATGGGATGGATGCACCATGATCAGAGAAGAACTTGTACAGACTTGGATCAAATCTCATGGCCAAAAGTTATGCAGAGTACGGATATGTCTCTGCAGCTCATGATCTGATATTCAGACCCATGTAAAGTGATAGACCTAATAGTTTCGACATATAAACCCTTCAGTATTATTTTCACCGAAATGAAAGTCAAGAACAAGTGTATTACAGTGCGGAATGTAATTGGAGATTAATAAAAATCAACAAAGCCTTAAATCACATTATGGGAAAGACTGCGCTCAGTTTCTTGTGTACTCGGACGTGATGATGAATGGCATCTAGGAAATCAAGTCAACGATCTGTTGCAAGAGGTATGATGTAATTGGTTTCGTAATGTTATTTCCCAGTAGCCATTAAGGCACAGGGAAGACATCTCGTTGTCAACCGGGTAATGTTTTATGGCTGCCTGATTAAAGCGTTGTGTTTTTGTACTTATCTGTTTCTTTTATGGCCCGATAACCCCACAAGGTGTCAGAAGTGGTTTTACACGGACCATAACGTCTTTTCAATTACAGCTACCAGAAACGTTTGACTTTAGTCGTCAAGAAAACTGGCTGAAATGGAGCCCGAGATTTGAACGCTTTCGCCATGCATCTGGTCTGACGAAAGAAGAGGAAGAGAGTCAAATAAACACGCTAATCTACGCTATGGGAGATCAAGCCAAAGATATTTTTAACTCCTTTTAAGCTGAGTGCTACACAACTGTAGTAGTACCACACCATCAAAACAAAGTCTGATGACCACTTCGTGGTTCGCCATAATGTTATTTTCGGGCAAGCAAAATTCAATCAACACCGCCAAGAAGTTGAGACAGTCAATACATTCATCATGACATCGCATACACTCGCTGAACACTGCAATTTTGGTACTTTGAGAGATGAAATGATTCGAGACAGGATTAGGCTTTATAGACGCGAAATTGTCAGAGAAACTTCAGCTCGACCAAGAGTTGACACTGCCAAAAGCAATCAACCAGGCGCAGCAAAGGAAAGCCGTCAAAATACAACAAACCCTTATGCGGAGTGACTTCAAGGAAACCACAGGAATAAAGAATGAGGTCGATGTGGTAAAAGGGGATAAACTGCCGAAATTTCGACAGACGACTCGTCTTGAGGTTCTAACGAAATTCCCAAGAAACCGCTCTCTTGGAATCGCTGGCCATGTGGGACAAAATTGCCTGGCTTAAGCTGCTATTTGTCACAAGTGCAAGAAGAAAGGTCACGGGGTACTTGTCTGCAAGTCCTTGCAAACTGTCGGCGAAAGCAAAGAAGATTATGCCTTTCTCAGGACAATCGGGACTGAGAGGAACAAAGACACTTGTTCTGTAGACCTCACTCTAAATAACTCTCCTGTCCACTTTAAAATTGACACCCGAGCTGACGTCACTGTCATCCCCAAGAGCGTTTGCAAAAAGCTGAAACCAAACCCAGCCCTCATTCAATCCAGCAAGACCCTGTTTGACCCGGCGCACACAACTCTTCCCATTCTTGGCTACTTTATGGGAGTAATCTAGAGAGTAGAAGAATCTTTATCGCGGGAAATATTTGTGGTGACTGGAGCCCGCTTAGCTCTCCTCGGCCGTCCAGCTATAGTAGGGCTAAGAATTGTCCAAAAGGTCAATACAATGGAAGCAGAAGAAGTTAAAGAAACACTCCAAAATCTTTTTAAAGGTTTAGGAAAACTTGATGGCCCTGATTACCTAGTCAAGTTCAAATCTGATGAAAAACCACACGTAATTAGTACACCAAGGAAAGTACCTGTTCCCCGTCTTTCGAAAGTCAAGGAAAAACCGTTTAGGATGGAACAAATGCAAATCATTTCTAAAGTGGATGAGCCAACGGAATGGTGCCCCGGGATGGTTGTGGTCCCAAAAGCTGATGGCAAAGTTCGAATATGCGTATATCTAACCAAGCTCAACGAAAGCATCCTAAGGGAGTATCATCCTCTACCCAAAATCGACCACACCTTAGCCCAACTGGCTGGAGCGACCATCTTCAGTAAACTTGATGCCAATTCAGGATTCTGGCAAATAGGCTTATCTCCAGAGTCAGCTAAACTAACCACTTTCATCACGCCCTTCGGCAGGTTTTGTTTTAATCGCCTACCATTTGGAATCAGTTCAACCCCTGAACATTTCCAGAAACGAATCTCGCAGGTTCTTGAAGAAACTGATGGTGCTCTTTGTCTGATGGGCGATATCCTTGTGTACGGCAGTTCAGTGGAAGACCGCAATCAACATCTAGAAGCAACCCTGCATAACCTACAGGAGGCTAACCTTAAATGAAGAGAAATTTTAATTCTTAAAATCGTCAGTTGAGTTTCTGGAGACGCTCATCAACACTGAGGGAGTGCACGTAAGCCCCAAGAAAGTTGGAGCTATTTTGAAGATGAAAGCGCTCCAAGACTAGATGGAATTAAGAAAATTTCTTGGCATGGTTAACCAACCAAGCAAGTTTCAGCTGCAAATAGCAGAGCTTTCCAAGCCACTAAGAGACCTATTGACTTCGAAAAGTCACTGGTTATGGAGTGAAGCCCAACAGCAAGCATTTGCAGCCCTGAAGAAGACCCTCTCCTCCACCCCTACCTTAGCCCACTATAATGCGAATCGTCCGACGGAACTTTCTTCTGATGCATCATCATATGGACTTGGAGTGGTCTTATTACAACCGCAGGATGATGGCGAGTGGTGTCCTGTCGCATACGCCTCGCCAGCCATGAGTTCAACTGAACAACGATATGCCCACCTGGGCTAGTGAGCACTTCACCGATCACCTGATTGGCCTGGAATTCCACACTGAGACCGACCACAAGCCTTTAGTTCCCCTGCTGAGTACTAGGAACCTTGAAGACCTGCCTGCCAGAGTACAACATTTCCGAATACGAATGATGAGGTTGACCTACTCTATTTCGCATTTATCTGGGAAGTCCCTTTACACAGCAAACACCCTTTCCCGGAAAACCCTAGCTACACCCCTTAAGCAAGTGGAAGAGACGTTAGAGGCTGATGTACGAGCCTATGTGGACTCGATTGTAAAATACCTATCAGCAACAGAAGATCCACTAGAAGACTTCAGGTGCCAACAACAACAGGATGAAATCACAAGGCAACTCATCACTTATTGTTCTGAGGGTGGCCAGAAAATCCCCAGCTCCCTGGTCCACTTAAAGTGTTCTTACCTACTTATTTAGGCCCGTGGCTGCATGTGGAGCATAGGCTATCGACGACCCCTCCCCAACGCACTCTGTTCTGGGCTAATCTTGCTGCTCCTGTCCAGTTTGTACCTTGCTGCGTAAGCTCTGCCTCAGTGTCTCACCTCCAGCTGTTGCGAGGCCGGCCTCTCGTCCTCTTTCCCTGCGGGTTCCAGGTCAGAGCTTGGCGTGTGGTGCTGGATGCTGGCTTCCTGAGGGTATGTCCGATCCAGCCCTACTTCATCTTCAGAATTTGTTTTGCTACTAGTTCCTGTCCCGCTCGCTCCCACAGCTCTTCATTTGGGGTCATCTCTGGCCATCGGATGTTGTAGATGCGCCGCAGACTGGTGTTGAAGAATGTCTGTATTGTCTTTGTTGTCCTCCAAGTTTCGCATTTGTAGAGCAAGACTGACTTCACATTGGAGTTGAAGATGCGAAGTTTGGTTCTTTTCCTGATCTCCTTGGACAACCAGATGTTCTTGAGCATGACAAAAGCTGCTGTGGCCTTGCAAATCCTGGCTGTGACATCTCTGTCCGTGCCCCCCTGTCAGTCAACTGCACTCCCAAGGTAGATGAAGGAATTCCAATCCCTGATGGGCTCTCCATCGACTATGACTGGTGTGTCGGCAGTGGTGTTAATCTTCATTAATCTTTAACACTTAAAGTGTTCTGGCCTGGGAAAAATGACCTCACAGTTTAACATGGCCTACTGATGAAGGAAAACCACCTCATCAAGACCCACCTCATCAAGACCCACCTCATCAAGACCCACAAAGCAGGCCCCAATATTAAAATACGACCTATCGTATCCAACATCGATGGACCCGCCCAATACATTTGATGGCTTCTTGCCAACACCCTTAAACCGATGATAAAAAAGTCCCAACCCATTTAGAAAACAGTCTCGAACTCATTAAATGTATCCAAGCCAGCAATCTCACCACAAACAAAGCGTTACCATATCCATGCAGCCTCAATGTGGTATCCCTATACACCCGATACAAGAAGCCGATACAAGAAGCCACCATCAACATTACAGATAGAATCCAGGACCCAATACTCCACCTCTCCAAACAAGACATCACAGATCTCCGCCAAGTCATGCTAAACAATATGTACTTCTCCTTCAGAGATCAAGTTTTTTACCAAAGCGAAGGCCTACCCATGGGTTCTAGCATTTCAGGCATTCTGGCCATAATATTCATGGACAGACTAGAAACCATCACCCTCTCATCGCACCTAATGATAAGCCCTTACAAGAGATATGTTGACGACATTTATCTCCAAACAACTAGTGAAGAAACAGCAGACCATTTCCGCCATATAATAAACAATGTGCACCCTAATTTGAAATTCGAAATTGAAAAATCACAAACAACACCTAGGGGCCTGTCATTATCATTACTCGACTTCAAAGTCACCATATTCAAGGATGGCAACAGCTCTTTTGAATTCTACAAAAAACCAGCCAAAAAACCGCTATTCATCCACCATCAATCAGCTATTCCTACCAAATCCAAAGTCAACTTCATTCGCAACGAATGGAAACACATCGAGGGCAGATGCTCCTCACATGTATCTGCAACGTAACACCTGAACATATTCAACGACATCTTCTGCCTTAACGGTTATCCAGAGAACAGTATAGAGCAAACAAAACGCCCACAAAACCCTCAACGAAACCCTCACCCTACCAATACAGAATGCTCATACCTTAAGATCCTGTACATTTCTGAACAACTAAATCGCAAGATCACTAACATTTTTAGAAAAGAAAACATCCCCGTACGTATTGCCCACAAATCCTACATGCTAAGACAAGCCCTATTCCACACCCCCAAGGAGTGCAAATGCACTAGAGACAAATCCCCTATCTCTAACACTGTATTGTGTTTACGGTGAAATGCAGTATACCAGCTCACATGTAACAGCTGCGATCAACAATGCATTGGTAGCACGACACGCTTCATCCACGACCACGTAAAAGAACATCTCAATAATAAAAACTCTTCTGTGAAAACTACATATCTTTTCCTGCCAGAACAAAAACTATAAAGGCTTTGACGTCAAGTTTATTATTAGCGAAAACGACCCCGCTAATCTACGACTTTATGAAGCATTTTACATTAGAAAGTGCAAGCCTACACTCAATTCTCGGGAAGAATGTAGTGAATTCGTAGACCTTCTATTTCAGTATTTTATCTTATGGACCATTTTTTAGAACTTTTAGAGGTCCTTTGTCTGGGAACGGTCTGTCATTGGAGCCTTGTGTTCCATTCACAGTTTATTTCTATAGCTTTCATACATAGTCACATCTTTTACACATTTCACCCTACACTTTCTTTGCATATATATGGCGCGCCCGGATTATTTTCTCATCTTGGAGTTTATATTTTACTTTTTAAACAGCAGTTTAAGGCCTCATCAGAACAATTTTATAATTCTAATTATGCTGCTGAAGGACAACATGAACGGATTATATAATGATTTTGTTGTGTAAGAATTATATAAGGTTCAGTATACCTCTCTTTCTTATCCAAGTGTGTACTGAAAATCATACTTTCGCAACACAAAGTGTAAGGTTAATGGTACAAGTAATTTAACATACTTAGAAAGAAGCTCTGAACCAGACATATTTGGTATGATATAATATTTTCTAGCCCAAAGAAGTTACTTGTGGCAAATATTTGGCAAATTGCATTGCATATCGAATATAAGATGGTATAATGAGGCAGTATATATTAAGTATACGGAATGATATACTGATGTGTAATGCATTCGATGGTTAAGGATATACTTGACATACTTGTCCTTATCCTTGTGTGTAATAAAAATTATACTTGACCATACACAACGTGAAAGGTTTGTTGTACAAGTAATTTCACAAATTTAGAAAGAAGCTCTTAACAGGATATATTTTGTATGATATAAGATCTTAAGACCCATAGACATTACTTTGGGCAGTATATGTTGCAAACTGTCCATAGTCTCCACCATTGACTGTTTTTTCTTTGGTGTATGTGTTGACTACTCATTCCACAGTAATTGTGAAGAAAAGCTCCCTTCCACTGACAGTCGGCCAACTGTCGGCCAACAGTCAGCCGACAGTTGGCCGACATTAAACCGACAGGTAACCAACAGGTTAGTGACAGGTGGTGAAAAAGCTTTATTAGACACCATATTTCCATTTTACAAAACTGAACAAAGCAGACATGTGCATTTTTACATTCAAAACTTGATGTAAAACGTACTATGAATGCTTAAAATTCTTCAAAATGCCACTAAAACTAAAAAGGCACATGAACGTTTGCAGTGCATTCGACGAAAGTGTGTTTATATTCTCCATCGAAGAATGAAATTGAGAATCGCCCTATAATGCAATGCGATCCTAATTTTTGGTATATTGGTATGTCATATATGTATAAATGATATATCATGATTTTGACATGAAATGAAATGATCCGTGATAGCGTTTTCTTTACCAATAACAGGTATTCTTCTTGTCTGTTTTTCAAGAAAGATTTTATCACTATAGTTCTAATTTGTGTCACTTACTTTGAGTCTTTTGCAGGTTGCGTGCTTTGTACTTTCCCCGTTATAGAAAAGCTATTGTATATCCAAGTTAATACCGAAAAAAAAAACTACGTGTGTTCGATTCTTGACAATTTTGGTCTTCTAAATTAATCCAATCACATTATAATTTGATTTTGCACATACTGCTTTACATCACGTTGCATATGTTGCTTAAAACTGTACAATTATTTAGAATTTTATTCAGGGACTTCTTTCTGCAATTGTTACATTAAATTCAACTACTCCTAATCAAAGCGAAACGAACGACAAAATACACGTTGGTCATAGCTTTTATTACATTTGGTGGCTCCAAAAGGAGCCTTTTTTTTAAAGCAGGCTCAGTTGAGCGGGTAGAATTCTGTTATGTCACCTAGCATGTTCCCGAAGTATTCACACGGGTAGACTTTTCGCCAGTTGAACTCGTCAAGATAGGACGGAAGCTTGCCTCTGGAGGTTCCGATCATCACCATCAACTTTCTCTTCACCTGACTCCAGACTCCCTAGATAGTGTTCGTGTGGGCTCGTGTATAAGGATTGACAAGGTTCTCCGAGTGGTTGACCATGAAGTGGATGTAGCCCAGGTTGTTTTGTTGAGGTTGAAGTAAGGGGAAAAAATTGTCAGAAATAATCGTGGTTCCAGGTGTTACAAAGTGTTGTATTAGTCCGATTACTTGAGTTTCTCTTTTACGGTTTGGTACTCGGCAAGACTCCTGCTCACATGCCTCTAGAAATGCGCCCTCGCCCTTTTGGCCAAACATGGATTCATGGATTTCTACAGTCTTTCCTTGGCCACCTAGCTTGATATCGCCATGTTGGATTTTTAAAGAGCAGATATCTCTGAGTTTCTGGAGTGATGTGATGACAGTACGGAGTGATAAGCCCGTTCGAAGAGACATTTTATTGCTGGACTCTTCTATGGACCACAAGAAGATGATGAACAGCCACTGCACTAGCAGAAGCTTAGAATTTTCGAAAAAGGAACCAGCTCTAATTGATCGCCGTTCTTTCAGTAACGTGTTGGAGATTCCCAGTGAAATCCATCCTCTGATTCTGACCTTTCGCGTAAGACCATGTCAGTTCCGCAGTGACACTGACGCCTAGCTGCCAGCAAGCCACAATTGACCAGAAACGTAAAAATGGTCTGATAACTTTGAACTAAGGTAAGTGATCATGATAGGATGAGTTTTTCGATCTTGCATGTAGTCGCTTTAAAACTTAGGTCAGATCGAAAGTGTCCAATGAGGAATAAATTAAGTATTCATATGCAAAAACATGCTAGACCAATAAACAATTCAGAATTCACTTATATTCTCATTAATATTCGTTTATTTTTCTGTTGACCAACCACGTTTCTGTAAGAGTTTCACATGCCTTGTTCATTCGATCCACGGGAGAGTATAAAAGCCTTTGTGAAGAGAAATTCAATCATTACGTAATTATTCGCAGACAAAAAACAATGTCTCGGCGACTTCTGAAATGTTCTATCTGCGACGGCAACCACTCGATTTTTCATTGTATCAACAAGCGTGGTGTCTGTTCTGGTGATAACCAGCAGTGTTCTTGTCCAGCTCAGCCTCCTTAAAAAAAGGAGAAAGCCCCCCCGAGCAAACAACAGCCTGATAATAAGCCGAGCTACCAGGAGCTTAAAAAAAGTATGACGCCTTGATGAAAGACCACAAGAGGGTGAGCCAGTCCTTCCAAAACCAACGACGGCAGAATCCAGAACTTAAGTTGGAGGAACACGAAAAAGATACGGAGGAGTTCGCCAGTCTAGTGCGAACAAAATCAGAGGCCGTCAAGACTCTGCAAACTGAGTTGGCAGATGCCAAAAGGACTCAAGGCCGAGGTTCATACTCTGCACCAATGCACAGCTGACAAACCTCAGCAGCAACCTCAACAAAAAGATGCCACTTGCACCAGCACCCATAGTCTGGCCACACAAGATACCAGAGGGTGCTACAGATCCTTAAGGAAAACCATTGCATGGCAAATGCATTTCGGCTGGTCGGTTGCCCCCGCAGCACCCTTTGAGATTTTGTCGTTATCGCTGAATTACGAATCGTCGATGAGCGTGAATTCGAGTCGGCATCAAGGGAAATATGCGTGGGCTCTGTTAAAGAACTAGAAAAATTCTTCAAGAGAAGACTTTGGCGACACCTGCCAGCTGTGGCAAACATGTGATTAGAGGGACAGCTGTTGCCGCTCAAATTTTACGATCAATTTTACGATTAAATATGTCTCTCCTAACACAAACGGCTCTTTTAGGAGCTACGAATAAAAATAAAGTCAAATCTTGACTGTGTGACCGACAGCCGGCCGACTGTTGGCCAACAGATATCGGATCAGTAGTGGGATGCACTACCCGAGGACAGATTTTTTCCCGAGGTCAGTTTGGATCAGTTTTTGTTTCTGGGCAGCCGACCTCGGTTCTGAAAAACCGATCTCGGGCAAAAATCCGTCCTCGGGTAGTGTATGTACTGTCGGTAAACTATCCTCGGTTGATGTCCACGTAACGTCCACGGTATTAACCGACCTCGGTTTTTAAACTGTGCAGGGGTTGCCGTTATGTGACCTGGTGTTGTTACAGAATGGTGCTTGGTTTGTCGATAACGTATACGGTAATAATCGACCTAAGAATACCATTCATGGCCCTGCTCGGCTTAAGAATCTTTTTAAAACCCACCTCGGTATATAGCGGAGTCCAGTTGGGTGGCTTCCGCTAAACTCTTCTGAAAAATGAGCTGGGATTCCGATACCCTTCAGTACCCCCTGTTCAATTTTCGCGATTTTAAGTTCCCGCTCAAACAACATTCAATCAGGAACTGCATTCGATTTCAAAAAAATTTGAGAAGTGCAATATGTTTTAAAACTTCGTGCCCCAGTTGTTCAAAGGCTGGTCAACCCTATCCACCGGATAAATTTCTATCCAGTGATAAATGTTAACAAAATAAATCCCGCTATCCTTTGGATAAAGATCCATCCAGTGGATAGCGCCATACACCTTTCGAGCAATCCGGACCAGATGCAAAGTAATACAGTTTAGAGGATGCACTCGTTTATTTTTGTATAAGGTTTGCCTTTGCTTTGTGATCAAATTTACTTTCATCGCATTTCACCACAGCACCCGGGCCATCAAATGGTATTATTGAACGCGCCTGCTGGTCCAGAGAGCACACATCTTGTAGGCGTCTGCATATTTGCAACAACAAACTTGCATTCAAATTCAGGGTTCGCAAATCGGGTGGGAAAATTTTAATGGTTATAATTAGTTGGTAAAAGGACTCCTTCTCGTCCAATTCTGCCTGTAATCATACTCTCTATCAACAAATCGGACTCCCGCCTAGCGGTCGTCCGATTTTGTTAATCACTTGTATGATTACAGACCGTATTGGTACCGTAGTTTCATAAGAAAAAGTAAAAAAAATTCGTTTTAGGGCCGTATGTGTCGAAGTGATAGGGCCGGAAAAACGCGTCGTAAAATTGGAAACACGCACGCCCCGCAAAATCGATGCGATTTAAAATTTCGGACATGAAAAATTTAGATTCTTAAAACGTTTTATTTCTTTGATGAAAGTAAACATTTTGTTAGTGAATTTTGCTATCCTGCCGAGTCCGCTTGAAGTCAATTGAAACTGGAGCAGAAAAGGAGAAAGGGGCTGCGCAGAGAAGATCTTCAATCCCACTTGGACGAGAGAATGTGGCGGCAATGGAGAGGGGGCAGCTATCGAGTGATTATGCGCAATTTCCTTGCCACTTTCCCACTACAATTTTCAACCGATAATCCGGTACTTTAACCTTAAACCAACTGCATAGCAGAAAAAAAAATAGAAAATTAAACATAGCCCCTTAGAGGTACCAAGAACTTGATTTATTGACTCTCCTAAAAAATTTTTCAACCCTGAGAGGAACAACTTTAAGTGCCGCTCCCGCTAAGAGCGGTCCTCTCGACTTCCCGTCGGAAAAAAGTTTTCTTTTATTTTTTGCCCATGAAAAGGGTTTGGGACACATGTTTCAAAAATAGTTTAGTTGTTCTCCAATTCTCCTTTTTTGCCTCGCCACAAGCCAAAAATCATTTTTGGCCAGACCACCCCTGTGACCAGCGTTCGAAAGTGTCAATTTCAAAGATTTTGTTTAGCGCGCAGCGACTGCAATAATGTAGCTCACGGAATTCTATCTTGCTACATGTTACAAGGCGTATTCAGTTAGTTCACAAACAAAATATGGAAACTTCAGCTGAAATATTATTCATACCAGCGTGATCAGAGGAGACCCTGCTCTTCGACCTTAATTTGTATATCAAAAATTCACTACTTTGTACGAAGGAATTCTCAAAATGCAGGCGTTAATCGGGCTGAAAAAGCATATCAGTGCATATTTTATACACCAATGAGGTCACGGATTGCCTTAAACCTGCGGGTATATCTCTAGCTTCCATCCACCAACTTCTTAAAAACAACGCAAATCCATGTGTTTGCTCAATTGCGCTATCGCGTTGTCAAAAACAAGATCATTTTCTTGCATGATTCTTGGAATTGACCAAGATCTCAAAATCAACTGGACAAACCCAGCTTTGACAATTTTACAAACTTCGTTCGTTTATCTGCTTTAAGGACGTTGAGGAAAAGTATTTTTTAGCAAACAAAAAAAATTAGGTTTTTTTGTCGCAACTCGAATGGAAATTAGAAACTGGAGTCGAGTGCAGAGTTGTCCACAATTTGTCCTTTGAAAATGTTTTTTAAAATAATAGCCTTCACGTTTTACTCATGTGATACGAAAACGCTTGCGCGCCGGATTTTCAGCGTGACTTACAAAGTAGACAAAGGTGATCGGAAGGCGCCTTCTCGATAATTTACGTTGAAATATCAGGTCATGAACTATGCACAGTGTATACATTGTTGCAGTCGCTGCGCGCTAGACAAAATCTTTGAAATTGACACTTTCGATCGCTGTTCACAGGGGTGGTCTGGCCAACAATGATTTTTGGCTTGTGGCTACGCAAAAAAAGAGAATTGGAAAACAACTAAACTATTTTTGAAACATGTGTCCTAAACCCTTTTCATGGGCAAAAAAATAAAAGAAAACTTTTTTCCGACGGGAAGTCGAGAGGACCGCTCTTAGCGAGAGTGGCACTTAAATTGTTTTAACTATACTAGTTGCAATGGTTTTTTTTTTGCTCTGGCATGTAGGTGCAATAAGTTTAATGGACCTACAAATGGTACAATATAACTTAAAATAGGGCAAGACAGATAAATAAAGTTATTTTAAAACATAGTCTAGATTCGCGTTTCATAAATCAGAATAATAAGGCAAGACCAACATATCAGCGGCATCCCCTCTTTTTGCAGACGGAGTAAAAAAGAAAAGAAAAATTAGAATTAGGGTGAATACCATTAAAGAAAATGGAAACTATTAGAAAAACACTGAAAGCCGCTACGTGGAAGGGGGTTTTTTTTTGGGGCAGCCAGAAGCTACCCAAAAAGACTCCGCTATATACCGAGGTGGGGTTTTAAAAAGATTCTTAAACCGAGCAGGGCCATGAACGGTATTCCTAGGTCGGTTAGTACCGTATACGTTATCGACAAACCGAGAAACGTTATGTAACAACACCAAACCGAGGTCACATAACGGCAACCCCTGCACAGTTTAAAAACCGAGGTCGGTTCGTGTATCCCAAGCTCGGTTAATACCGTGGACGTTACGTGGACATCAGCCGAGGACAGTTTACCGACAGTACATACACTACCCGAGGACGGATTTTTTCCTGAGATCGGTTTTACAGAACCGAGGTCGGTTGCCCAGAAGCAAAAACTGACCCGTCAGCTTTTCAGAACCGAGGTCGGTTGCCCAGAAACAAAAACTGATCCGTTACGTGGACATCAACCGAGGACAGTTTGCCGACAGTACATACACTACCCGAGGACGGATTTCTTCCCGAGGTCGGTTTTTCAGAACCTAGGTCGGTTGCCCAGAAACAAAAACTGATCCCAGATATCCTGCAGGAAGTTATCTTTTCAGCAAAACCTAAATAAATATGTCGGCCAACTGTCGGTAGGCTGTTGGCCGACAGATTACACACAGTCGGCTGACAGATTACTAACAGTCAGCCGACATATTACCAACAGCCGACTAGTCGGTCGACTGTCGGTGGGGGGAGCTGTTCTTCACAATTACCCATTCCAGAACTAAAAGAATGAGACCAACTCATGCAAATTATGGCTGTTTGGTCAATTGGTTCATTCTGTCCACTTCATTCATTTTGGTCATTTGGATTATCTTTGTTGATTGGGTCATTGGTTTAATTAGACCATTTAGGTACTTTGTATCGGCTGGGCTATTTGTACTATTCATGCTGGTTGGAATATTCGAGCCAAATAGGTCATTTGCTACCTTTGGATTACTGGATACTAATTTGCGTCACTTGACTCCTTTTTGCCTGTTTGATAATTTGTGCCAAATGGCTCCATTATGTTGATTGGGTCATTTGTTCCAGTTTTTCTCTTAAGCAGAAGTATCATACCAGAGTTTGAGACATTTTAGGAGTGGGTTTAATTAAACTATTTGAGAATATCCACAATTGCACGCCTATTGGTATTTCATATGGTTGCCTCATTTGTCTCACCACATGTACCATAAGACAAAATACGAGTAAATACCTTGTGATAACCAAAAAAATGTATTATTGTCCTT